TATTGTGTCAAATGTTCCCCACTCGGCATCCATTGCAACTCGGTCATGCTGGAAGGGGGATTCTCCCATCTGCGGCCCCTTCTCAAGGTTTCTCATTTTTCCCCAGATGGGGTTTTGGGAGTTTTTCATTGCCCTCCTGGGAATGACGGTCAGGCGATGTCGTGAATACTTTTCAACTGTGGGCCTGTGAAGCCCTTTGAGACTATTTGTGATTAACGACTGTAGAAATAAATGTGACTTGACTTGACTGTCATTCAAAAGAAGGATGCCGCACACTTATGTTTTTTAACAATTTGCCATAGATTCATTCTTCTGGGTCAAAGTCATTTTTCGCATTGATAAACCTAGTGCGCAAACTTGTATCATCGTACCATGCCGCCAGCGTCTCCATCTGGTCCTTTAGGGCCTCCTGGAGCCTGTAGCAAAGCAAAACGACAGGTGAGGACATTGCGCACTGAAAATGAAGCAGCAAATATGCGAGGAGATCTTCAGAAAGTGTCACACTGGCTACTTACATTGCAGTCAAATGAGCAGCACTGGGGGGGGGGGGGAAGAGACACAGCATGTCAAATAAATACTACGCCATTTATACTGTAGTTTGAGAAACAAAAACTGATGATCAGACATACCACGTCCTTGGTCTCATTTGTCTGAAAAAGGAAGACAAAATGTAAATAAAACCCAAATATAAAATTCTGGGAAGTACAAAAAGTCGACAGGAATGAAAGGGAAGACAACACATACGATCATATCGATGATGGTTCGGATGGTTCCCATCTTGGTGGCTCTGGAGTCATCTGCGGCTGTGAAGTTCTGCCTGTAGTTCTGGTCAGTGGCGATGATGGATAGTCGAGTATCCTAAAAAGACAAACGCAAACGGGAAATCTTTAACGCCCATCTCACACTAGATAGTTGTATGACATTCGCAAACTGAGCATGACAGCAAGTGGCAAAATGGCCGCCCCCTGAGATGGACACAAACGAGTGGATTTTGTCGCTTCATTTATATTTCACAACAGGTTTGCATCAGAAGAATATCATAACAATAATTATGCACAGGCTAAAGTAGTAATATATTTTATAATATTTATGAATTAAGGAGCTGGTTCATCAACAGGTGGATTTTTTTTTTCTGAAATGTCATCGCTATAAATTACAACATGGCAAAAATCAGTTTTACACTTGTAGGTCACGCTTAAAAACAAGAAATAAAGTCTGACAAACCTGATGTGCATGAAAAAAGTCAGAGACACTTGAAATGGGTGTCAAAATAATGATGGACACGTGATGCTATCTCTGCTCAAAAAAATGCTGTTGACCAGACCCTCCCCAAATTAATAAATAATAAAAATACTTTACACTCACATTCCCACTAATGGTAAATTTCCGACTCAATTATTAAAGGTGGAAGCACTGGCAAAGAATGATGAGACATGATGCAAATGAAGTGGTTGACAATCAATCAAAACTGGTGCACGTACCTCCTGATCAGGTGAGATGGCGACGGCGAACACCTTGACGCCATGTAGCCTAGCTTCATTTGCAGCCTCCTGCACACCTCCGCATGGCTCCTTGTAGCCGGTAATGGGATGGCCGTCAGTCACCACCACGATGTACTTGTTCTCATGGTAGTGAGAACCTCTGGGGAGAGCATAAGAGGGTAAACGGGTGAGCTTTTCAGCAAAAAACACGACGATAGGTCGCCCTCCAAAAAAACCCTAACAACAGTGAATAGGTCAGTGCCAAACCCAAATAGGCCTGGTTCACCGTATTATTCTTAGGAGTGATTATTACGCAATGAGCAGCTCAGCAAGACCCCTCTTGATGGCGCAGTCCGTGTAGGTCCCTTTGCCGATGTATCTGATGGTGTCAATGTCATTCTTCAGGGCCTGCCGATCGGTGCTCATGTCACTCAGTTCGCGCACCAGGATGACGTCGTCACTGTAGTGCAGCGCCCCAGAGTTCCATGTCAGGTAGCGATCGCATCGATGGCGCCTATGGGAAGCAAAGATATTGATGAGACTGTCCCTCGACAGGGCACCCAAAGAAATTTCAAGCTCCGGTTCCTGCGCGTGTTCTTACATGTCCTGCAGTTCATCGATGAAGCGTTTGGTGAATTCTTTGATCTGGTCAATGTAAAAGTTGGGAGGCTTCTGCCGGAGGGCCACACTCTCAGATGTATCCAATACGAAGAAAAGGTCAACCGGACATTCTGTTCACACGACAAACAAATTGGCAATGATCATGTACACCACTGCACCACATGTGCTCCCAAAGTGCTCTCAAAATTAAAAAAAAAAAAAAAAAAAGAAAATGCAAGCTGCATAAAACGTGTCCATGCATTGCATGAAAAAAGAGGCCCCTGGTGCAGCACTGCAGGCCTCCATCAGGTATGACACCCAAGGGTGTCATGGTGCCTGTTAGCAGACTCCTGTAGGCCTGCAGTATAAGCAACGAGGCTCTACCACTTGTACGAACACCGCAAAATGGGAACAATTCCGCAGTGCCATCTTCTCTCGGTTTCACCAATCTCAGTCAGTAAGTGCATTAAACTCTTCATCGCGCGCTCAAATTCACCAACATGCACTGAAAGGCCTTCAGGTTCACACGTTCAGTCTTGTAGATTTTTAATGTGCGTCGAATCTAATATCGTTGGACCTGTCCATCGAACTCGTGAGCGTTCTTGAACGCAACAGCGCACATCTGGATCATCGCTTACGGGAATGTCACTTCGGCATGCAACACGTCATGTTTCAAAACGAAGAGACGACTTTATATGCGATACAGTTCGTTGCACGTAGAGGAGCACAGCCTTCCTTCGAACAAATTAAGAATCTGAAACTTACCCGCGGACCTGGGTCTTTGGATCTGCGTTTGCGCTCCGGCCAGGAGGACGCACAGCAGCACAAGGAGCCCTCTCAAAGTCTCCATGGCTGAACTGCTAAATATTATGTCAAACAAATAATTCCCCAGAAGAAACAAACGCGAACGCTGCCCGAATCCCCAAAGGCGGCTCCCGTTTGACTAAATTCGGCAAAACCTTTGGAGTTCCACCGCCCCGCCGCAGTTCGTCCAGGCGAGAGCCAGAGCGCGCAGAGGAGGAGGACGCGCGCGACGAGAGAAGAGGGGGCGTGCACGTGCCCTTTTTTTCAGTGCACGAGAGCCACGTTTAGCGAGAACGCGCATAGACTCAAAGTTTACACAAAATCTCAGATGTAGCTGCTTCCATATAAGGCCGGTCGAGAGAATTATGGACGTACGAAAAACCCGATGCAGACAACAAAACCTGCCAGCGCCCTCAAACCGTTTGTCCCCCACCCACTTTTTTTAGAACGAAACGTTCACTCGAATCTTTGATTTTTAGGACTTGAATAAATAAAACCATGTCTAACATTTAACAAAGGATGGCTGTACGAAATCATTTGTCATTGAAAATCACGACATTGATGGGCGGTGGCGTCATTTGTGTCGCAAACGACGAATTGAATACAAACTTTGGGGCTACTTTTTACTTTTGTCAAAAGTTCCCTGCGTGAATACATCTGGTTCAACTTTCCAGACCAGATATGAACTTTCAGAGAGAAAATGGGGAGATGCAAAGGGAGGAGGGAATTCTTGGCGCCTCTCAACCAGCGCAGCAGGAAGAAACACAGTGCCATCTAGCGGACATTGTGGACATAACTTGGAGAAGGAGCCTTTCGAGGGGCCGCACGTTCACTCCTCTGGAAGAGCGGAAAACGTGGAAGGCTTCACTTGGCCAGGTGATGAGTGGGCTGGATGTTTCATGGTTGCTGTGGACATACGTGTGGTGGGACTGTTCTGCACTCACTTTTTCCACTGAGCTCACTTTTCTTGGAGACGCCGTTGCTCACAGTGAGCAGATGCACGGCGGGAGCAGGGAAGATGGGTTGGGGTGGGCGCGGGGAGAGAGACATCTGGTAATGATCTGTGTTTACGAGCCAGTCCTCATCATAAATCAGTTTAGTCTCATGGCAGCCTGTTTAAATGGTGAAGCCTGTGTTTCGGGATGTCTCCGTATTGGATTTCTCTCGAATCCACATCAAACTCCATTTTAAGAAGGAAATTGGAAGTTGGCTTTGTTTTCAGTTATATAAGAATTTGTGCTCCAAGGGAGGAAGGTGTGCACTTTTTTTTAACTTCTTTACAAACATGAGGGCGACAGACAGTTTTAAGATCACACAATGAGCTCACTCATGTTATCATCATCACCCCATGGGAACGAAGAACATGGTGCACCCTCGAAGCACATGGAGGCCGACATGCAATGAATAGTCGCGTCTGGCCAGCATATTTGGCAAAGAAAATGAGTTTCCACAAACTCGACGTTAAGTAGGCAGGACTAGTAGCAAATCTGAGTCAGAGGGCGAGAGAAACTGAGCATGATGGGCTGAACACAGACCTGCTTTTATTATAAACAGTGTTTAAGTTAGAAAATGATGATGAAGAAATGATTCCAAAGTAAATATCGCTCTGTGGAACATTTACATCAAAGAAATGAGGGGAAGGGGGGAACCTTACAAAAAAAAAAAAGGCCACATCTGGAAGAGATTAATCACCACAACTGGGATATAATTCCAGCAAAGGCTTCGTTTTCATGTGAGTCAATGCACGAATAACAAAAAGTGATTGGTCATCCCGAGAGTTTACTCTGCTCGCAGATGCCACAAGGCGCCAGTCGGAACTGCAGGAAATTGCAGCACGATCAAGATACTGATGCGTGCCAAGTAAATGAAAATGACAGGAAATGGGCCAGATGAACCTGCACAGTATCAGCACCCCACCAAGCAGTCGTCTCCTCGTGTCTATCAGTGAATACTTCAAAACAAGCAAGTCATTCAAGGATAAACAGTCTGCTCTTCCTGTTTGCAGCTGGTGTAAAACAGCTGCACACAAATGAGGTTGCTGCCATCTAGTTTACCCATGAGAAAAAAAACAATCTTTTTTTTTCTTTCTCCGAAGGACAGCAAATTCACACCACATTGTAACCAATGTCATTTAATTTGAACTTGTCAAACTCAGAAAACCATAAAGGGTAGAAAGAGACAGTTGCTGACTTGACATTGTTGCCTTTCAGGAAAGGTTACGGAACCCAATGTCAATCAATACTTGTCCTTCAAAATGGAGACTTTGGGGTTTAGTAGCGCAGTCATTTCAAACGTGCTTGACAAAAAAAAAAAAAAAAGGAAAAAAAAAAGATGCAGTCCTTTGGACGAAATTTGGGGGTGGGAGGGGTTACACGATTGCAAATATTGATGACTTTGCAGAGTAACACTTCACCTTTTTGCCTTGCGCGGGTACCGCTCCATGTCAGTTCACGGCCGAGTGACTTTTGAGGTGCCTCCTCAGGTGGTTTAGACAGGTGTACGTCTTGGGACAGATCTGACAGTGGAAAGGTCGCACCCCCGAGTGGTTGAGCATGTGTTGCTTGAGCACGCTTCCGTCCGAGAAGGCCTTTCCGCACTGAGAGCACACGTAGGGCCGTTCGCCGGTGTGGACGCGCATGTGCACCGTCACCTTGTGCGCCATGGTGAAGCCTTTGCCGCACACCGTGCACTTGAAGGGCCTCTCGCCGGTGTGGGTGAGCCTGTGGGTGCGCATGGCGCCCATCTGCGAGAAGGCCTTGCCGCAATCCGGGCACACGTGAGGCTTCTCGCCGGTGTGAACCCGCGTGTGGCTCCTCAGGCCGCCGGCCGTGGAGAAGCACTGCGAGCAGTGCGTGCATTGGTAGGGACGCTCGCCCGTATGTGTGCGCATGTGCTGCTTCAAGTCGTAGCGGTTTCGGAAGCCGCGGCCGCAGACCGGGCAGCTCTCCGGCCTGTCGTCGTTGTGGCGCAGCTCATGATTGGACAAGCACTTTTCCGACAAGAAGCATTTGCCGCACTCCCGGCACTGGTAGGGTTTCTCGTGGTCGACCCGTTGATGATACTTGAGCTCGCTGATCCCGGGGAAGGTCTCGTCGCAGTAGCGGCACCTGAAGCGATGGTTGGGGCTGTAGGGGAGCTGATGTTCAGTCATCTGATGGTTCCTCAGCAGGTGGGCCATCTTGAAGGTCTTGCCGCAGTGCGAGCACTCGTATTTGGTCAGCAGCTGCACGCACTGGTGCCGGACGCATTCGTGCATGGACCTGAACTGACAGCCGCACTTGGTGCAGATGTGGGCGGCGTTCTTGCACTTCCTTTTCCGGTGGCCAGACAGGTGGGCCTCGGTGCGGAAGGCTTTGCCGCACTGGGAGCATTTGTACGGCTTGACGGCCGTGTGGAACCGCTGATGCTCGAGAAACTCAAAGCGGTACTTGAAACTCCTTCCGCACAGCGGGCAGTTGTGGGCGACTCGCCCCCGAGGGTAGGCGGATTTGACGGCCAGTTTCCTCGAGGGCAAAGAGGAAATCCGATGAGCCGCGCCGCATTTCTTGCGCTTGCCTCCACCCAGCAATTTGGAGGCCTCCATCGCGCCGACTTCGTCGTGGCGCTGCTGATGCTTCACCAAACACTTGGAGGAGATGAAGCTCTTGCCACACTGTTTGCACTGGTACGGTTTGTCGTGATCCACCTGCTGGTGATACTTCAGATCACCGATGCCGGAGAACCCTTCGCCGCAATGGCTGCACTTGAACAGGCGGCTCGGAACGTGAGTGAGGAGGTGTTCCTTCAGGCTGCTCGACTTTTGGAATGTCTTTCGGCAGTGCCCGCAATCGTAGTTACGTCCTCGTTTCGGGCAGTGGTGTCGGAATTTGTCCAGGGATGAGGGAAAGCTGTTCCCGCATTTGATGCACAGGTAGGCCGCATTTTTGCATTTGCGCAGCCGGTGGCCGGCCAGCAGAGTGGCTGTTCTGAAAGCCCTCCCGCACTCGGAGCAGTTGTAAGGTTGCTGGCCGCTGTGGACGCGCCGGTGCTCCACCAGCGCGGAATGATGCTTGAAGCATTTGCCGCATTCGGAACATTTGTGCGTCGCCACCTGCGGTCTGTGACAAGGGGACGAGGACAGATCCGTTCTTTTCGGAGAGTCGGCAAAGTCGGTCGACGTGGAAGGGTTCGTGGACAGTTCTTCGTCAAACATGACGATCTGGGGAACGTTGTGGTCATCGTCACAGGCGCTCGGGTGGGAGGCGATGGCCACTTCCAAAGAGGGGGGCAGCGACAAGGACGGGATGAGGAGATCGTCCGAGTGAAAAGGAGCTGCGTGTGGGCAAAATGGCTGGGATCACTCTCTTGCACAACACGCAACATTTACTGAGAATATGCAGAGACCATACCAACAGTACTTTTTGCCAATTTTCCATGACATTCTTTGCTTTGGAGGAGAAATTTGAGGTCTTCTCCAGTTGACACACACTGGATGTACTCCTCGAGGACAGAGGGGGAGGCATTAAGCCAAGACGCGGTCTAAAAAAAAAAAAAAAGACATTATTTCAACGGAAGAAGAACAACTTCAAACTTACAGAGCAACTTTCAAGGGGGACGAGGACACTTTGGTCATTTTTAATGGCGCACCTGCTTGAAATCTGGGATTGGCAGCAGCTCCTCGAGCCTGGTGAAGAATTCGCAAACAAGCGTCTCCAGCGCTGTGTCGAAATCAGGGCCGTACTCCACTGGGAACACGTTCTGTGTGGTCAGAGAATGAAAGGTTGCCACCGTGACGCTCGAAAAACTGGAAAAATTGGACGATACGTTGAAGGAAATCACTTGTGTCGTCAGGTGAGAACATGATGCCAAAGTATGAATGATGGTTGTCCTTGATTTGTGTGCACCTCTCATGTCCATATTTTTAAAAATCACTATCAGGATAATTAAAAAAAAAAATTCAAACTTAAGATTAAGGATCAACACACACACTGTAATGATGACATGTAGGTCAATATCTGGTCAATTTCTATAAATGCAAACATTTAACAACACTGGTCTTCACGTGTAAATGTATAGAAACAATGCGGTCCGATCTACCTTGAGGAAATGTTCCCTGCCGTCGGTATCTTCAATCAGGCCTTGAACCAGCTTCATAAAGTTGGCCTCTGGTGCTTCAATTGCAGGATCATTTGTCTAGACATCAGAACACAGAATGGCAGTAAGCGATGGCATGTCACACTCTCTCGGAAAGCATGACACTGACATCGCTCACCTCTTCAATGCAAGATGATCGGATTCTGTTGAGGTGAGTTTCCACAGCTTTAAGATCGTCCGGATGCTCAGAATGTAACAATTCAAGAGTGGTCTGGTGGAAATGGTACAAGAAGTGGATCACACCAGTTTCACACAGGCAGGCTATATTTACATGAGCGTGAATAAGAACACAATACAGCACAGGCCCAGAGTAATATCGCTAACTTTTTGGGCGTAGTGGAACCACCCACGTCGGTCACGCATTGCAAAGTTAGTTTTTTTTTTTTTTTTACAGTAACCTAACGACTAATCAAACATACAACATCGTCCAGTGATGTAATCTGACAACAGAAGAAGACCACAAAACGACAAATGAACCAACCTCCGAGATTTACTTTTCACCACCAAGGGAAAATACAGTCAACTGCCTCTTGGGTGCAGCAGTGAGAAACATTTGACAAGCCTTTCATAGTTTATTAGGAACGGTGTCAATTCCAGGCAGGTTAACCATGGTCTTTAGTTCAGCCGCTTCATCAACTCTTTTCATCTATTCCCTTCCTCAATGTCACAACAAGTGATCACGTGGAGTGGTTTTCACTTACCCTGGCCCTCAGGCCGAGTGACAAAAGTCTGCCCTCTCTTTTACTCATGAGCTCGGGAACAGCATCTGTCACCATGGTTACGAACTCCTCCAGCTTCCCATAATGCTTAATGTTCCTCTGGCGAACCACTTCCCACATCACCGCTGACATCAGCCTCAGTGGTGGCACCAGGAGGGCCAGTGATGACAGGGGAACGTTGAATTCTTCACAAACACACAGTAGGAAGCGCAAAATATCATTCAACCTGGCCACCTTGATCACTTTACTATGTGCAAGGCATCTACTTTCACTGGAGACAATGGGTCCGTTCAGCGTTTATCAATTGGAGATCCATGGTATATCCAAACCAAAATAAAACTGAAAAAGAAAGTCTCGCGTGCGATGTAGTCCGCACAAACCGCACACGTCTGGCATTAACCGTGCATTTAGTGACTCCAGCTTGTATAAAGCGCCGTTTGTCCTGTGGCATAGCCAATGTAGCAAAACAGACGTTCGCGGTTTGCTACAATTTAATCAGGATGCCACTAAATACGCAACAATTGCACTTTGTTTTCAACAAATATGTTCGATTAAATATCGACGATGTTAGCGAATAAGAACCAACGTGCTAGCTCTAAGGCCGCTAATGTCAGCAAGCTAACCCACTGGTGAGCAAAACAAGGCTCGCTCCAGGGATTAGTCGAGGCCTGTAGAGCCGATGGTACACATTTGCTTTTTCTGAAACATAAAAAAATGTATGTACATATTCGTCGAGTTCATCTATCGAATGCATACCCATGTCACTCATTTTCGATTTCTTCAACTGCGACGAAGGGCAAAATTTCTACATGGACGAATTTTCATTGTTTTCCCAGTTAGCCTTTAAGCTAACAGCTTATGTAGCAAGGGCGCCAACTTCTTCCTGAAACATGCTCTTCATAAGTCAGTTGGCTCAGTTGCGTCACTCTGTAGTTAGGGCGTTCGATTTGGTTTACAAGGCGGCCCGATTTAAACCTTGCACGGAATTTACATCGACCGCTCACCCGAACGCCGGAAATACAGCAGAGTGACTAAAACTGACATCGCAACCAATCCTGATTTGCTTAATTTTATAATAATTTGCAGTAATACAAAATGGGAGTCGTTTACATTTTTCCCAAACACTCCGATATTTCTTACCACATATGTACAGCCATCGCATGCAATGAATTATTTTAAAACAATCTGGCATTTAGTAGACCTTGCACGTAAAACAAAGAGCCTATTATTTGACGGTTTCATATTGAGAGGTGGAATGTAACAAAGTACAAATACTTAATAACCGGAGTGTAGTTAAATGGATTTTCAGAAGTCTGTAATTGAGCGTTAATTTTTCTAAAGTTTTTTATTTTATTTTACACTTTGGCTCACTACATTTGTGCAGAAGTCTCTCATCTAAACTCTATTATTTTGTCAAACTAGGCTTTTACATTTTTCATCCTCCGCAGATGATCACCAACTGTGGGAAAAAAAAACTGATGAGTCAAATCTACAGCGGTTGAGATTATGGGGCTTTATAGATGGAAATAAACAGCAGTCACATGGAGGATATTAACAAGGGAGTATGAACGGCAACATTTGAAGATGCAAGATATTCCACATCAATGGCCTTATTTAAAAGAAGTGGTTGCTCAAAGAGTTATTTGGCATGAAAGGATTGTCTTGTCCAGTCCCAAAAACCACCAGCTTCTGGCATTCCAAAATGATGTTGAATCTGGACAAAACATTTCAAGAAAGAACACACACAATGTTATATTTTTTCAGTTAGCATTCGACATTTAGCAGTATTTAAGTGACAATTTAATGCAAGAAAAATAAACTGTTCAACCTCCATGGCAGCAGCCCAGTTAAGTACAGGCAAAACAAAAGCCATTTGACACGATGGCAAAAGATCCATAAACCATGGATGTACCGTCGTTAAGGACCGTAAACTTCCCATAAGGGTGAGTAGTTGTGTCTGCAATGCCTGTAACTGACTGAGAACCGGTCCTTGGTGTACCTCGCCCAAAGTGGGCTGAGATAAACTCCATCTCATCTGTGAGCCGAACGGGGACAGCAGCAGAGGAAATGTGTGGATCGGATCAGACCGACGGTTCTTGGATGCCGTGAGATTTCAAATGCCTCTTCAGGTGATTGAGGACCTTGTAGCCTTTCGGACACAACTGACAGGGGTAGGGTCGGACTCCCGTGTGGCTCATGTTATGAATTTTCAACTGGCCACCACTCGAAAAGCCTTTTCCGCATTCAGAGCAGACGTAAGGCCGTTCCCCGGTGTGAACGCGCATGTGGCATGTTAGTTTGGCGGCCATGGTGAATCCTTTATCACACACGTTGCATTTGTAGGGCCTTTCCCCTGTGTGGATGCGTCCGTGTATCTGCAGCTCGCCGGCCGACGCAAAAGCTTTGCCACAGTCAGGGCACAGGTATGGTTTCTCCCCGGTGTGGGTGCGTATGTGGACGGTGAGGTTCGCCGACATGTAGAAACGTTTCTCACAGTATGGGCATTGGTATGGCCTCTCGCCTGTGTGCATGCGCTTGTGGCGGGTCAGTTCGTGTTTGTTCCTGAAGGATTTGGCACAAACTGCACAAGCGTGTGTTTTCTGTTTTTCGTGGCGCTCCTCATGAGCTGCCAGAGACGCTGCGGAAGGGAGCATTTTGCCGCAACGCGTGCACTGATTGGACAGCCCCGCGGGATGAGTCTTCCGATGAAATTTCAGCTCGCTCATACTGGAGAACTTCTCCCCACACTGCCTGCATGTGAAGAGCCGTTTCCGAGTGTGAATCAGCTGATGCTTTTCCAACTGGCACGTCTTCTTGAAGCTTTTTCTGCAGTGAGAACACTCCAGCTTTTGTGTGTTGTGAATACAGCGGTGTTTAAATTTCTCCTGTATGGACTGGAAGCTGTTGCCACATTTGAGGCAAATGTAGGCAGCTTTCGTGCACCGTGACCGCCGGTGACACGACAGATCTGAGCTTCTCCTAAAGGCCTTCCCGCATTGAGTACACTTGTAAGGCAGCTCTCCAGTGTGGATGCGCTGATGTTCCAGGAGTTCGTAACGATAAATGTAGCACTTATTACAGTGAGTGCATTTGTGTGCAACCCTTTGCCGCCGAGGGCCGACGGCAGGGCCGCCGGATGTGACAGGATGGGGGGCCGATGCGTCAGTAACTGATGTGGCGACTGAAGGTTGGTCATCCAAAACGAGCTCAACTCTTACTTCGTCTTTGTTATTGTTCAAAGTGGTGAGAACGGTTTCTTCCTGAGAGCAAATCTCAGGGTCCTGTTGGATGACATACGTCCAAGTGATTTCTTCAGCATCAGTGGTACTCTGCCGAAAGCATTGCCGACTGTCATCAATCTCGGTCTGACAGGATGAGTTTTTCTCTTCCGTGGAGACGGGGACAGTGAGTGATGAGAGGAGCTGTTGTTCTGAGGAAGACGTGTCTGTTTATAAAGAGAATGGAGATAAATTGTTTCGTTATGTCCGTATTGAATCGTTCACCGCGCTTCAGGCATTTCTAAGAAACAAATCATATTGTACCTTTGGAAACATCAACCAACGTGTTTCTTTTTTCCTGATTGAAGTTAAAACAAAAGGGCTCTTACATGGCTCCATTTTTAATAACCTTAACAGTTTCCTTTTATTTCCATTACTCTCTATGGAGAAAAAAAATGGTGATTTTGTGATAAATTATTCTTGCTGAAAGTGTATGCGCTTGACTTGTGTTCCCTGTTGGGCAGGGAGAAATCGATTCGGAAAACAAAAAAAAAAAAAAAAAAAAAACGGTCGTATCACATCCAATCAGACTTACCATTGGTGTTTATCTTGGCTAATTTTCCTCTTTGGATTGTGCGTCTGAGCAGTGCTGTGAAGTCTTCGGCTTCAAAAGCGTATTGCTGGTATGCTTCCAGCAGGGTTGACACATCATTGCCAACCCACAGTGAGGTCTGTTAAAAAACAAACAGGAAATATGAATTTGCATGGCTGAAACTGTTTTCCTGTGCAACACCTGTGATGAGCGTGCCTGTTTGAAATCCGGAATAAGCAGCAGCCCATCCAATCTGTTGAAGAAGTCAGACACCAACGTTTCCAGTGCGGTGTCAAAGTCTGGCCCATAATGCACCGGGAACTCATTCTGTGAGGTCATGAGAAGAGTTAAATGTCGTGTCCGCTGTTTGAAAAGTAAAAACCTTTGGAAAATTGCAGACTCGCACCTTTAGGAAATGCTCTCTCCATTCATGGTCATCCATAAGTCTTAGAACAAGTGTGGATAAGTTGCTCTCAAATGGATCATTTGTTGGATGAGCCTGCCGTGAAAAACACATCCTTCAGTGAGCACCGGCTTCGCAATCCGTGATGTTCATTCATGAAGACCCGACAACGCACCTGCTCTGAACTGCTTAGTAGAATGCTCTCCAGGACAGTTTTAACACATCTGACATCCGGCTCGCAACTTAACATCTGCAAAGACATTTGCAATACAGTGCCTTCAAACAATATTCATGCACGTTCACCGTTTGCTGATGAGTCATTGGAATTTCTCCAAGCGGATCAAGCACATTCCCGTCTTAATATGCACCATCTCTGTCCAGTCACGATCACCGTTACCTTTAGTTTCAATCCCAGTATAATCAGCGTCCACTGTCTGTGAGTCAAGATATCAGGGATGGCTTCATTCACCAAGGTGATAAACTCCACCACTCTCCCATAATGCTTTGTGCTCCGCAAGTGAACAAACTTCCACATGATGGCTGACATTACCCGCAAAGGTGGGGCCAGGAGCCTCAGCGAAGGCAAAGGCAGGGGACCTTCTGAAAGGCCAAAGAGGTATTGTTTCCCCTTTTGGGGAGGGAAAAAACGATTGGAAAAAAAAAAAAAAAAAAAAAAAAAAAACGGTCGTATCACATCCAATCAGACTTACCATTGGTGTTTATCTTGGCTAATTTTCCTCTTTGGATTGTGCGTCTGAGCAGTGCTGTGAAGTCTTCGGCTTCAAAAGCGTATTGCTGGTATGCTTCCAGCAGGGTTGACACATCATTGCCAACCCACAGTGAGGTCTGTTAAAAAACAAACAGGAAATATGAATTTGCATGGCTGAAACTGTTTTCCTGTGCAACACCTGTGATGAGCGTGCCTGTTTGAAATCCGGAATAAGCAGCAGCCCATCCAATCTGTTGAAGAAGTCAGACACCAACGTTTCCAGTGCGGTGTCAAAGTCTGGCCCATAATGCACCGGGAACTCATTCTGTGAGGTCATGAGAAGAGTTAAATGTCGTGTCCGCTGTTTGAAAAGTAAAAACCTTTGGAAAATTGCAGACTCGCACCTTTAGGAAATGCTCTCTCCATTCATGGTCATCCATAAGTCTTAGAACAAGTGTGGATAAGTTGCTCTCAAATGGATCATTTGTTGGATGAGCCTGCCGTGAAAAACACATCCTTCAGTGAGCACCGGCTTCGCAATCCGTGATGTTCATTCATGAAGACCCGACAACGCACCTGCTCTGAACTGCTTAGTAGAATGCTCTCCAGGACAGTTTTAACACATCTGACATCCGGCTCGCAACTTAACATCTGCAAAGACATTTGCAATACAGTGCCTTCAAACAATATTCATGCACGTTCACCGTTTGCTGATGAGTCATTGGAATTTCTCCAAGCGGATCAAGCACATTCCCGTCTTAATATGCACCATCTCTGTCCAGTCACGATCACCGTTACCTTTAGTTTCAATCCCAGTATAATCAGCGTCCACTGTCTGTGAGTCAAGATATCAGGGATGGCTTCATTCACCAAGGTGATAAACTCCACCACTCTCCCATAATGCTTTGTGCTCCGCAAGTGAACAAACTTCCACATGATGGCTGACATTACCCGCAAAGGTGGGGCCAGGAGCCTCAGCGAAGGCAAAGGCAGGGGACCTTCTGAAAGGCCAAAGAGGTATTGTTTACATACAGGTACAGTGATGAAAACTACTTCCATAAAGTTTGGTATATTCACTTGGGTAAAATTTCAGGATGGACCTGAAGTGCACGATAACCTTTACGAGTGAATTAGTCATCCTTTAAATTTTTGGAAAGGACGTGTTGACGTTCAGAGTATCAGTTTATTTTGCACATGTTGCTGTTCTCCAAGGAGCTGACCAGAACAATTCACGTAAAGGTATTTGATCCAGAAATTGTGCAATGTATTTGCAGAGGTTTCAAACATGTTCTCAGAGGGAAGAGGCCACTGACCTTAGTGTCACAAAATGTCATCTGCAGGTTGCAGTGATACAGGTAGAATAGACATCTCTGGATTGAAGTGGGCGTCCTTGGAATTTTGACGCCGGTTGTGAATTTTGAGGTTCAGTTCCTTGTAAATGAACAATACATTGTGCAAAAACTACTGAAACAGCTGGACACGTGTATTCAAATGTTTTTGGGTTAAATTGAGTTATAGTGTAAAGACATTTAGGGCCATTCTGAAATGTCACCAGAGAGGAAAATAGTCCTATTTTTTTGTAAGTACTGAAAGAACAACACTAAGTAGACAGAGGTCAATATGACAGCCTAAATTAATCATCACTGTGTTTATCCGTCAACTGCAGTGATTCCCAACCCGGATGTTGAGAGATCATCAGGAGTTCTGGGGTAATTCATCCCATTTCACTCAATTTGCCCAAAGTTGTAAAATCCGACTACTTTGAATCAGTGTTGGGTAACATCGGTCTATTTCTATTACGTGACATAATCTGAATTAACACAGTTGAAGTCAAACGATATCGTCACATGTGTAATATGCTAATATCGACCTTCACTCTTACAGTTTACGTTTAGAAATTAGGGCATACTTCCAGAACTTTGTGTCGCTTTCATCTCGCTCATCTTTCATGAATTTGACTGTAGAAGAGCCTGTCACTAAAGAGTTAGCAACGTGTACAAACACCATCAAAACAAGCGCCACGCAAACTTTACCCATTTAATTCCAGCGAAGGTACACAAGGTTTTGAAGTGGCTCTATTTAAATTGTTTCACCCGACAATATCGTTATCCTTTCTGACTCAAAACCACATCCCATGCATCCGAGTAGCAAAAACTACGGAAAAAAAAGACCATCTTCTTCTTTTCTTCCCTTCGCGTTTAATGGTCGTTGGCAAATAACGATTATGTACAATATCGCCAACTATCGGTAGGGATCGGCTTTTTTTGGGGGGGGGGTATTAAAAAAGAAACCACAAAGTACTGTACATATCTTACTCACTCACCACATATAACATGTTGACGATAATTTACTATTTTGCATCTGAGTCAGATAAGACAACCTTTATTAGTCTCCCAACGCGTGGTTAAAGTTGCATCATTCCAGCAGCAATACTGAAGAAACGAAATAAACAAAAGGCATACAAGGAGAAGGGGGAATATTTTCTGAAGTGATTTTCTGATGAAGATGAATAGTAAAATTGCCATAAACAAGATTGACAGTCCGGAAGATTAAATAGACGTTCGTACAAAAAGAAGCAAATTGGCCTGCGCAGACATACGCATTCGATGAAAAAAAGGAAGAAAATCTAAATCCCCCTTTATAAGACAATAATCGACGATTTTAACTCCTTATAATATCTTTACAATAACATTCAGATTATTTTCTCTCATCAATAGGGTGACACACCCATCTCATTCTTAATTCCACAAACAACATTATGTATCAAGACTAAAAGAGTACAGTACAAACAATACTTTCCGGTGGCGTTCCACGATGTATCATATAATTTCTTGAATATTTCTTTCGTATTCAGTTGCCTGTCCTCGCTCTATATACTCCCACAGTGTGTCAAGCTATTAGTTTCTCTGAACGTCCCAAAATAAATCTGTAGGGAAATAAATGTCCTGGTGGTGGCAGTCGACTCCTTTATCCAGTGCAGTACAGCGAGGGTTTGGGTTCGTTGATTCAACATGATTTGAATGTGCAGTACTGTACTGTAGCTTTAACGCTTGTCCAATACTTAATTATAAACATTTATTGCATAGTCTAATTAAAAAAAAATCTCACGTATCATGGTATCATGATTGCACAATATTTTTGACTTTTTAGAGTACATACTATTAAAAGTGTGCATGACTAAAATAACTCGACAAAAACAAACAAACAAACAAAAAGATTAACTACAATTTTAACATGCCTGGGAAACAATTGACTTATCCAATATTATACTTTTCCACTATCACATTTTAGAGCACAACCTAAAATTGTCAGATGGATAGAAGAAGACTGCATATCAAATATCATGTACACGTCAGTGGCAGTCGAGCACTGTGAATGCAGATGATCTTTACGGTATTAAATTGGGCCCATGTCCGTGTAATTAAACATAGTGCATTTTTAATCTCTGCCACATGTCTAAATAGCAAAAAAAAAAAAAAAAAAAAAATCACATCAGTTGCAGAGTCATGTTCATTCACGTTAAAATTCTCCGGCACTTCACTTAAAAACACAAATTAAAATAATCTGAAAGAAGATGAACGACACAACAGGATAGCACGTCAATGTATATACAGTAGGCATGTGTGTGCATGTGCTACTGTACGTGTGTGAGTGTGTATGTGTGAGAGGGGGGCATTTATGTCAGCATTTGTATGCTGAATGTTTGTGTAAGAGACAAGGAACACAGAGAGAGAGAGAGAGAGAGAGAGAGAGAGAGAGAGAGAGAGAGAGAGAGAGAGAGAGAGAGATTGCATTAGTGAGTGTGCCTGTCCTGTGAGTGTGTAATTAAAAAAAGTGTCTTTTTTTTTTTTTTTTTTACACACAGATTATCCTTCCATCCCAGCTGGTCAGAGTTGGATTTGACCACCCGGAGAACCAGAGAGAGGAAATCTGTTTGGGACTAAATCCAAATTGGCACCCTTGTTGATCGCCCCCCACCACACCCCAAACTCATAAATATGGGAGCACCATCCAGATTTATTACAAAAAGACGCGACTGAACATTTTTTGTGACCTAAGTAACACAAGTAATCATTCGGCGAAGACCGAAAATACATACAGTACCAGACATGCACAATAAAATAATCTGTGCATTCAAATTAGCACATGGCGGTGCTAAGCACTTACCTCGCAAATAATTTAACAGTACGTGTATTACTATTTTGTATCCTTAGTGGATGTTTTAGCAGTTGAGCATCCATCGGCACCATCGTGTGAATTCTGTTCAATCTCTAGAAAGATTGAACTCCATGAATTATTGTTACAGATCATTTCAGCGATCGTTCCGAGAGATGATGGTACTGTACTGCAGTTGTTGAAGCACAATAAATGAGTGTCAACTTTAAAGGGGCAACAGGCTCACAAAGACAGAAAACCGGAGTGACTCAGAGGCTTGTGCGCATCTGTCTTGTTTTTCCTCCCTGAGACAGCTTTGCAGCCATACAATGAGGTCAAATAAGATAGTTGGTTTCTCATGGGAAATTCTCCCCAAGCGTCATGTCATAAAATGTGCACACCAACGCATGGCATGGCAATACCAAGCAATGACCTCGTTTAATTAGTAATCCAAAGCGCCAGAATGAACAAAAGGAGTCATCACGCTGCTTCTTTTGACCGCGGTGAGAGTTGGAAAATGCACAACTATGGAAAAGATGTTTTATTACATTTAGTCGATACAACCTAAATGCAATACAAACAAGCAAGGAAAATATAGAAAAATCAGCATGATATGAACAGAATGTATGTATATAATCTGATGATGTTATGTGACAGCCATGCATGTCACTTAAGTGTTATTTATATACACATAGTACACATTAGTTTAATTACAAAATTATTACAAATGTCCTTTACATGTACAACTGCTGTTTTTTTTTTTTTTTTACATGATTAATATTACAAAATTAATTCTTAATGTCATCCATGCTTCTCCCGCAGCTGCATCCAACGGTCCAATAAAACGGTCTTAAAGAGATTCAGAGAAGTGTGCGGACAGAAAATCAAAATCAGGCACATGCTTTCGGATTTTTTTTACACCCTGATCTTCTTTGTATTGGGCACACGAACTGAGCTCGTGATGTGCATAGCGAGAGAAAATCAAACTGCTTTGGGAGACAAAAATTCTGATGAAGACCATTTCATTGGATTTCTGTTTTGGTTGTTCATGGAATCCATTTGAAAGAGATTGTCTTTGGAGTCTATTTGTGCAGTAGACAGTATAAAGCGTGTCATTTGACTGAGGGCTCTATAAAATGCGCACCCAGGTTTTTTATTCAGTAATTAATCATCATTCAGTTCATTTGTTATGCTTGCATACATGTTTCATTTTGAACAGTTCGGGTGTTTTTTTTTTTTTTTTACATTGCAACAAGGGCAGGAAACAACTGACTTCAAAACAGATTCCATTTTTCTATTAAATCAAGGTGGCCGCAGAGCCACAATGTCCGCATTTGTCCTTTTTTTTTTTTTGGTGATTGTTCCTCGGCCCATTGTTTGCTGCAATGCTGCAGTGCGCTGCCTGGGCGAGAATGCCAAAGTTTGGCGTATTGAAGAAAGAAAGAACACATCCATTAAAAGAATGGAAAATAACGACAAAGTACAACGTTCTCTATATTGCTCAATTGGCAGCATCTGATTTAATCAGCTTTTAGCTTGTCGCTAATTACTCTACAAAGCATTGTGATCTCTAAAATAGACTAACGAATAAAATAAGACTAACTAATAAACAAACAGTGCTGCACCGCATGGACAAAGCAGTAGAAAAAAAATGAAATGAAAATATCACAAACCAAACGATTGTCTTGATTCTCAACCTGTACTTTTTCCTACTGAGAGGTGTTTGTAATATTTCGGTGAGCAACTTGACCTCATGACCTATCAGTATGATGCACATCGACAGTGTTTCCCAACCTTCGTTGAGCCAAGGCACCCATTTACAAAAGAAAAATGTTACCGCACGCCACCAAACACAAATGTCACAACATGTATGAACATGGAAATAATTCTGTCATATCAATTGGCCATCTAACGGAATCTCACGCCCGGTCTGCATCCCTTTTTTGAGTAGTGAACGTCATTCAATCAGTTGCTCCCAGGCATTGTTTAAACAAAAGAACATTTCGGCAGTATCTCCGGAAGTAAGGCCCTCAACCTCCCCACCACGGTTTCAATATGACAATCTGCTCATTTCAAACACATTCTAAACTTTTGCATGATTCCGATTAAAACAGGCAAATCTCCTTGACCCTAAATGGCTTGAAGCGTATTTTTGCAGGGGGAAAAAAAACTAATAATAACCCCACAAACACACCCCTCTTAAACTGACCTCAAAGAAAAGTTTCCTCGTAGTTTTCACAAAGATCCCCCAGTTCAGAGTCCGCGGCTAATCCGATGACATCCGAAAGGTCACCGGCCGCCCTGGTCACGCTGTCATAAGAAGGTGGCGAGGACATTAGCGAGCCCTCCGTTGTCTCTAAAAATTGCCCTCCCGCGGGCCCGTAGTGATGGATCATAGTTGCTATGAGCCCCTCTGTCTCCGGAGCGTTTTCCACATCTACGACCGACTCATAGTTGATTTGTCTGTAGAGGTAAGAGGCCTGCTTCATCTGCCGGCGCACCAGATGCCTCCTGTAACACCTCTGAATGATGATGGCCGACACCTCCTCCAGCTTGTGCCGCAGCGTGGAAGTGATGGGCTCGTGGGAAACCTTGGAAGGGTTGGTCGTCATGAACTTCTCCTCCATTTGCTGTTTGAGGGCATCCATCTCCCCCGACTCTCCCAGCACTCGCTTGGTGAAGGCAAACAAGATATCCAGGCAGTGGATTCTATTGCCACTGACCATGGGGAGGTCCATGGAGATCAGTTTGAGCTTATTGGGCTTGGCGATGCGCAGCGGCTCCGACAGAGTGTCCGCAAAGCTGCACAGCGCGGAGAACTCGATGAACTGCGTGGCCTCCGAGTCGAACTTCTCCCAGACCTCGTAAAACATCTCAAAGTCATCTTCGCTCAGCGGATCTGTACTCTCCTCCGTGGCGACGCTGAAGTTCTCCAGAATGATGGCGATGTACATATTGACCACAATGAGGAAAGAGATGATGATGTAGCTTACAAAGAAAGCGATGCCCACGGAGGGGCTGCCGCAGTTCCCTCGGGTGTTTGTGCCCGTATTGACAAAATTAACGTTGCACTCATCCGGGGAGCTGGACATGATCGGGCTCAGGAGGTTGTCCCAGCCGGCCGAGGTGCTGATCTGGAAAAGGCAGATCATGCTATTCCCAAAGGTCTCGAAGTTGAACATGTCGTCGATTCCGTCTTGTTTTTTCACGTAGGCGAAGTTTGCCATGCCAAAGATAGCGTAGATGAACATGACGAGGAAAAGCAGGAGGCCGATGTTAAACAGCGCCGGCATGGACATCATTAAGGCAAACAATAAAGTCCTGATTCCTTTGGCCGCGCGGATCAGCCGGAGTACACGTCCGATCCTCGCCAGGCGGATGACTCGAAACAGGGTCGGAGATACAAAATACTTTTCAATAATGTCGGCCAGAACGATCCCTGTAACGAGAGGTCGGAATACAGAACGCTTTGTTTGGCGGAACTTCAGCGTATTCTGCCAAATGGGCGCCTCGCTACTCACCCACAATGGAGAGGATGATCACCACAAAATCAAAGATGTTCCATGCAACTGTAAAGAAATAACAGCGGAGGGCAAAGATCTTGATCAGGCATTCCGCCGTAAAGATCACAATGAAGACCAAATTGATCTTGTTGAGAATGGACTCCATGCGCTCCGACTGCTCGTCCGTCTCCACCATCATCGTGAGCATGTTGACAATGATCAGCATCATGATCATGATATCGAAGGCTTGCTTGGACACCAGATCGAAGAAGAAGGCTTGGAGAATGTTCTGAGTTGCGGAAAGACAAACCAATATCGGTCATTTATCAACAGTCCTTGCATTGATAAAAATAATGGGCCCTATTTTCATGTCCTGGCGAGCGCAAAGTCCAGTCTAACTGTGTGCTTGGGTGGATCTTGCTTCCGTTAAAATGGGCGTTTGCGCAGTTGTGGGAGTGAACACAAACGACGTTCCCTTTAAATTCAGCGCAGGAGAGGCATGCAATCATCATTGTGGAAGCACAGATTCGCTGGAGACCGTCCTATGCAAAGTACGTTTATAAGGACCTACAGGAAGATATACACTGCAAAGCGGGCACTTGGAGACCACCTTCCAACCCCAACGGAGCGTCTGTTTGTGACACTACGAGCGCACACACATCTGCTGTGCTGCAATCGATTTCTACAATGATTCAGAGGGCTCGATGCATGCCGATGTCATCGGTATGAATGAAATCCGATGACATCCAACACACATATCAGCGGAGCGCAGAATCTGTCTCCGTGCGCCTGGGGTCAAAGCAACCATGTTAGACTGGACGGGAAGATGTGCCAGTTTTTGCGCCTGTTAATGAAAATAGGGCACACGAAGCAAATTTGTGATTGACACTGTCATGAAGAATGATGACGGAAGAATGATGGCTACTTTACCGTCGGTCTCGGTATTGGCTTTTGTGGCTTCTTACTTCCTAACTTCTTCATAGCATTGTAGTATTTCTTCTGTTCCTCAGTCATAAAAATATCCTGTCCACCTAAGTATAATCAGAGTTACCTGATATTATTTTTGAAAGGCAGCAATATTCAAAACATCAAAAGTCCAATACAGTAGAACTTTTGTTAGACAACAGCTCAGAGGTGTGTACAGTTGTGTATTCGCGTCTGTCCTGCTGAGTACACAACTAGTAGAGTTAAGAATGATACAATCTTTAAATCATCTCAACAGTTAAGAATGTGCACATGGGTGTTGTGATGCCTGATTTCAAATCCCATACGAGTCGCAATAATACTCATCTTTCTTTTCTGCTGATTGAAATTGTCAATAATCACTCCGATGAAGAGGTTGAGGGTGAAGAAGGAACCAAATATGATGAAGACGACAAAGTAAAGATACATGTAGAGGTTGATTTCTCTGATGGGTTGCTCCTCCACCTGAACAACAAATTCTTCAAGTCAGACGCTTCCTGTTGGCTTTGTGACTTTGAGCCTGTCCAAGTTCAGCGACACACTTACCCCTCTTGAATCAACAGCCGCGTGCATTATTTCCATCCAACCTTTAAACGTTGCCTGTAGCGCCATAAGAGACAACATTCATGTCGGGATGGGTCAATACGTTTGAGAATTATCCAAACGGACACAGTACAACCAGAAAGGACGCTGCACGGGAAACCTACCACTTGTAGAAGAGAAAGGTAGCCCAGTCCCACGTTGTCAAAGTTGACCTTCACCTTTGTCCAGTAGTACTGAGTGTCATTCATGGCCATGCAGTCTGATTTGTTGTTGACCACGAGGAAACTGTGGATGAAGCCGGTTCTGTTCACGCACTTTCCAAACTTGCCCGCAAACAGGTTGACTCCCATGATGCTGAAGATGAGCCAAAAGATGAGGCACACGAGCAGCACATTCATGATAGAGGGGATGGCTCCAATCAGAGCATTCACGACCACCTGGTGAGCCACACAAAGAAGTCAGTGCAGTCAAAACGGGGACGACTGTTTTAATTTCTGGTGATTACGGTCAAATATGCCTCAAACGCACAGCATAATGTGTGTAGCGCTGCCTCTGATTTGATTGTCAACTCCTACAGACAGACTTTATACTTGAGTATCAAACGTCAATGATGTCACAGAAGAATTAAGGCGCAGATTGCGCATATTGCCTCCCCAGTACACGCCAAAAAGCTTCAGTGATAAACTGGGGCCCCGTCCGCCCCAATCTGCCAACCAGACTGAATTTTTGGGGCTGCATGGCCGCCTGCGATCATGTATTTGTGGGCATGGTGAAGTGGCATCCGCATGGGATTTAGGGTCGTTGAGTTGTCAAAAGTTTCAAAACATTGCTTTCAAATACAAATAAGTTTTCCAATTGAACACACTTTCCCAGCTTTCTCTGCCATGCCTTCAGGCACTCCTGGCAGGATTCCTGTGGGATCCTCCACAGCTCTGTCGATGACCCCCTTAAGATTGGGGAGAGGGAAATAACATGCAACTAGGTCGGATGAGGAGGGACTGTTGTGACAGCGACACAATGTTTTTTTGTCAAGGAACTGTCAGATGCGCAGAGCACCGGGCCCGATTCATTATTAAATACGTAGAAGTGTTTTTACTCTGCGTACAAGTTCAGAAATAAATACAAAATGACCAAATGAGCCTCGGAATGATGACACGTGCGCACTGGCCAATCCTCTCACCACATTAGAGAATGCGTCGGAATGATGACACATGCGCACTGGCGAATCCTGTCACCACCGTGCGTGTTGTTATTATGACTGACTTCTTGAATCATTAGAGAATGTGTCATTCAAAACATGCATTGAAAAAAAAAAAAAAATACGTTTAAGTCGAGAATGAGCGAATACGACACAAGTTGTTAAATTCTGTATAGAGTAAGGAATAAAAAAGAGATCAAAAAAAAAAAACCCCAAAACATTTAAGTCGAGAATGAGCAAATACGACACAAGTTGTTAAATTCTGTATAGAGTGAGGAATAAAAAAGAGATTTGTACAGCGGTTGATCAAATTCATGAAATTAGCATTGGTTAGCGTGACATCACAAGAAACCCACGCCAGTAGTGGGTCAACAATGACTGTGAATCAATCAATTTCCAACACATTTTGGAGAATCGTAGAAATGTATCACGGAAACGGATGATGCCGATGCCCATTGCGTCGGATACAGATACATCATGTACAGAGCGGTCTTGCTTTTGTTCTCACCCGCATGCCCTCAAATCTGGATAGAGCTCTGAGAGGCCGCAAAGCCCGGAGCGTCCTCAGGGATTTGATTGCAGAAAAGTCGGAATAACCCAGTGAGTTTGCCACCAGGCTTATCAGGGACACCTACAATAAGAAGGCAAATTTATTTGGACTGTGATTTTTAGAGGGTAGAAATGTGGCAGACAAAAAGGCAGCCCAGCCCTTGCATGTAAAGCTAGAAAAAAAAAGGAGTCTCTCTCTAAAGAACTGAGTGAGGAAAAAAAAAAATGACGAGGAATCATTTTAGAGTTTCTGTGATTTTTGGGACATTCCACAGTTAGGAAAATACACAAAGAATTTGTGAGGTTTAGATTTGGTTTGGTCGCTGCAGCAACTTTTGCAACATTTCGACTTCCACTCTATTCTACATCCAAAAACAGACAAAACAAAATGACGCTCCGCTGTTGAATGGCCCTTGAGTGAGTGCGATTAAACGGAAGGATGCCAATGAGAGCGACGATGACAAAACACAGACAAGTGTGCACGCATGCACGCTACGTGTCCATGCGTGCAGACTCAACTATATATGCATATAATACATACATGCATATATATCAAATAGAGTGAGTTTTATAAAGAACATTTAACAAATCAGCCAAATTTGTTGCCAGTTTCAGTCAGTGACTCCTTCGAAACAATTTAGAACTCAGAAGGTCCCGGCGGTGTGAATTTCTTTATAAAAGTCTATTCACGGATGTGTTTGTCCAACATATCTAAAGAAGATACTGATGGTTAATAGTCGATACACAACAAGGTTGGTATTTGTCTGACTCCCAATTTCAGCTGTAAAAAAAATATCACAGCACTGACAGATGTCATCAAGGAAAGATACACTGTTTCATCAAGTAAAAAAGATGACTTGGCCAATGTCCAAATCAAAAAAATGCAGAATGAACAGAATAGCAGTTAAACGCGCATCTCTTATCATTAAAAATGCTGAGCAGGATGAATAGGCCGAGTGAGTAGATTTGATCTTCTATAGATAAACCTTAAGAGTATGTGGCACTGAAATTGTTTTGATACAAAAGCCAAAGTCCTGAAATGTCATCAAATGAAAAATTGAAGAGGACTTAGTTTGTTAGTTTTCTTTTTTTTTTGCCATGAGAAAAGGCTTCTTGGAAACAATGGCTTTTGACATCATAACAAACTGCAACGTGGAAATAAAACAAAAACATTTATGAGGCAGATGCAAGTTTTAGTCCTCGAGCTCATACTCACCTGGGATCTGCTAACTACAACTTACCCTAACAATAGAGCGGTCTGTTGCGATCTGTGTAACGGTAGGTAAAATCACAGGAAGTCAAGTCAGGCCACGGGCCGCACGCCTCGGGCAGCGTGGGTGCCATCACGATTTTTATTCATTTACTCACAAACCCACAATCTGCACACTCAAAGAAAGTCTCAAATGACGGAATCTCAGTTGGAGAAATATTTATATTATGCGCCAAATCCTGCTGTAAGAGCAAAACTTTTAAAACACAAAGAACAGAAGCATTCCGGCATGGCAATTGAGGCCATCAAAAATCCCTGAAAAGTAGTCTGACAAGTGCCACTGTGTCAAAGCCGAAAAACATGAAAATCAATCTCAAGTCAGCCCGGGACGGGGTTTGATTTCAATTCGATGTCATATTGCACCTTTGTTCACTTACATCCACAATGAGAAAGTCAAGCCAGCACCAGTAGTTGGTGAAATACTTCTTGAAGCCGTAAGCAATCCATTTAAGAAACATCTCCAGCACAAAGATGTAGGAGAACACCTTGTCCGAATACTCCAAAATCACTTTGATGACTTTTCTCTTCTCAATGTAGATGTCCTCGAAGGCCTGCAGTCAAGAAACAGCAGCGTGAGATATTGTCAACAGCTACGATGTTAGCATAAGCTATAATTTAAAAAATAAATAAATCCTAATGTCTTGGGGTTAGAAGTCGGTCCTTTTTTTTAATGCATTCCGCATGGAGGGGGAAAGTGCAGTTTAATAACACGCCCTGCAGTGTGAACGTAGCCATAGTTAGATTTATTTATTATTATTATTATTTTTGTACATTATTTTGTGACGTGATGGCATTAATAAGAGGTGGATTAGGTCATGAAATATCCACTGAAGTCCGGAACTCTCCCCGGCCATTGCAGCCCACACAACACTTGTGAGAGAGCATCTGCATTTCCAGTTAAGAATTTCTCGTCTTTGAAAATGTACCCGTGTTCCACAAAAACTGACAATGCTAGAATTCCACTCTATCACTATTTGGACCAAGACATCCAATTGCAATCGTATTCCACCTTTGATGGTGCGGGCAGGAAACAAAGGAGTCAAGATGCTGTACCAGAGCTCCACTGCTGAGCAGGATCATGAAAATGATGAAGGTCTCAAACCAGCTGTGTTCCACAATCTGGTAGCAGGTCTTTCTCAGTCTCCACCACGCCTGGCCGAGACCTTGGCTGATATTGATATCGCAGCACTGGCAGTGTTTGACACACACTGGGTGAAAAGGTGAAAGCGTGGCAAACACAGACTGTGAAACATGCTGTGACGAAAACAATCAAATAAATCTGGGGAAATGTCACACGGAACGGTGAAAGAGTTCAATTGGTCAGATTGGAATGGACAGGAAGTTCTCTACAAACTTTCTGGGAAGCATTCCTCCGGCTCCATGCACTCTTCGGCCAGCTCCGATAAATTGTCCAGCTCCTCACCCGGCTTCCTCAGATCGACCGTGCTTCCTTCTGAAAGGCTTATCTTATCCTGAGAGGTAGGAAGTCTCAAGGTTAGCATTTCACAGCTAAACTATAAATATGGGATGACAAAGTATGGCAACTCTAGTCCAAGCAAACCATTAGCATGTTTAGAAAACATGCTAAATTATTCTACTTTCACAATAAAATGTAATCCAATCCGAGAGCCGGATCAAATCATTCACCAAGATAAAAGTGTTCAGTTCTGATTTGCAATGTTAGGTTCCTAAGGTCTGCCGTTGTCTGTCAGCGTCTGGTTAAATGGTCCGTGCGGGATTCATTTGCAGTCTCGACGCACAAGAGTGATCATTTCCTGCTCTCCAGGGAGCCTCGGAATCTCCATGAGTCCCCATTAAAACTGCAAAAATTCTCAAACTGTTTTGCTCATTATTTGTTTTTTTTGTGTGTGTGTGTGGGGGGGGGGGTGATTAGAAAAGATACCTTTGCATCAATCGTCATTAGTCATCATGGGGAAAAAAAGCCATAGTCTGCAATTGCATGAAACACAAAATGCCCTCCAAAAGGCGACAAGTTGAAGCAAAGTGTGTCCCGTGATGCTGCCATTCTTTCTCCCTTTTGTAATTTGACCGTCGAATCTCAGAGACCTTTTATGGTGACACCTGTAAATGGCTTCAAATTATGGCGAAGAATGCATTCTATGTCTCCATAAAGCCCCAAGAATTCAAGGAAACTGGATGCAGTCGTGTTTGGTGCCATGGCGTTGCACAGATGCCATGAAAGAAGCTCCCACATGTTTGCATACTGCTGCACGACAGTTAAATCACGTATAATCTGCAAGTCATTATCATGTCTTTTCCCAAGGAGAGCGGCTGCAGGATTTTCAATCCACCGTCGGGCATTATACCTCGCTCACCTACGTGCCCTTTCAATCTCCTTTATACCTTAATGCTTTTTTGATAAGATTTGACTTTGTTGTAAAAGCAAAGCATATTCAACATAATTGGTGGGCCAGAGGTCAGTCTCTATCCTATAAAGAGGTTGAAAGTGGTCATCATGGGTACGATCTAGGGCCTAGATTCTCGCCGGAAGATTATCAGAATACACAGGAATATTAACTGGACGGGGATACACACTGGAGACCCGCTTCAAAGGCTTCTCCGTCGTAGGTGGGCCGTGCATAAAATAAAGTGTATAATAACGGATGAAAGTCTGGAAAAGGTCATAGGGAAGCCCCTCTGAGCCAAGCATTTTCAAGTACTGACCCTGAAAGCAAAGCTCGCTATTTCATTGACCTCATTGGAGGGAGAAGGGAATTAATTGTATTCTCTAAATACAGTGATGTGTCAAAAGTCTACTGCCGGCTTGATTTCTCGAATGACTGTAGTAGGACAGATACAGCTACTGTAGGTGTCCTATATGTTGTGCGCATATGTACAATTTGCAAAACAAAAGAAATAAGGAAATAAAACACTTGGATTTTCTCGATGGGACAATAGTCTCCATCATAATTTATTTTGTCTGATCTACAGATTAACAGATTATGAGAGCATCAACATGCTCATGCGCATCCCCTCCCCCCTTCTCGAGCTGTCAAGCGGACGCTGTATGTCACTTCTGAATGATATTGCCGTCGTGAAACGGAGCGTCATCAAAGCAGCGCTGCGTGGATGGAGTGCTTTAAGTGGACGTTTGGTTGAACTGCCTCATCCACATTTTGTTTAGCCCTGACTCTGGGCATGAAAATAAGGCCCCTGGTGTACTTTTTTTTTTCATGTTGCTCAATATAATTAAAATATGAGTCAGTTAAAAGGATAACTATGACATCATTGAACTAGAGCTCTTGTATCAGATCCAGCGATGGATCTCGAGGCTAGCAAAGCCTTTTCTGCTGGAAACAATATGAGCAGAAGGCAAAAGCAATAACTTAGATTGACATTTGTTCCATTAAATTTCATTAATTTATCCCTTCACTTAAGTTTGTTGTTTCTCTCGGTTCCATTATGTACAATATGTGTGTTTGACTTTTTTTTTGGGGGGGGGGGGTCTAATTAGATTTCAGCCTTTATGTACCGCCATATAAATCAAATTTGCCCAGGGCCTTCAGAACCAGTCGTGCTGGCCAATGTAACGAAAACTGCATTAGCAATCGGACCGTTTCTTTAACCAATCATCGGACTTTGATGTTGTAGACATTTTTCCGACCTCTGGACATTGATACAGCCAACTTTGATGAGCAAAACACGTCTGTAGCAATCTGCACAAATTAACAGATGTAATAGTTTCGTATAAGACGGAAAAAGAAATTGCTTCAAACTTACTTTGTGGTCTTCATCCTCCGATGACTCTGATATGTCCTCTTCCTCTATAAATTCCACATCGGATTCTCCCGGTGCGATTGGAACGATAACAGTCAGGTTTGGGTTAGTCATATAGGTGTCCTCCTCCGGTATGACGTATTTCTCTCCATAGCGTCCATAAACTCCGCCGTTGCTTTCCAGGTGATTGGAAACCAGCGCCGTGGCCTGACAGTTCTCTTTGGCTTTCTTGCGTCCGCATTTGGAAGTGCGGTTGAAGAGGCGGACGATGCTTGTGGCAAGCCAAGAGAGACCAGAGTGGATGCGAGCGATGGCAATCTGGATGTTATTCAAATCACCGTCCTCATCCGGAGCGGAGAGGTTGTCAGAGCTGAAAGAGCTGAGCAGCAAGGCGAGGAAGAGATTCAGTACCTGTTGACGCACACAAAATATGGCCAATGTGTTTGGAAGCCTCAAGAACCAAGGACATGAACGTTTCAGCCCGCTTGATTCTGAATCTTTTAGCTCGTTATTTATTCGTGCTTTTGACCACGCTATTCTTCTTTTTTGCCAGCCGATCACAGGGCATCATTCGCACTTGCATTCTTTGATGAGCACGGCATCTATGTTTTTGGAAGATCACCAAGACCTTTTCCAGTCCATATATGATGCAGTATTTAGATGGACAGTATGGGATGTCATGTTCAAAAACTATTTTATACTGCTCCTGCTCACTGTACTCATTTGTCCGCGTGTATGTGTGTGTGTGTTTTAGCTCGGTTGTTTTCTCGAAAGCCACCGACTTGCAAACTCCCCTGTTGCACAGAAAAACTGTTAGGGCACAATCTCTCAATTCAGGATATTCGACAGCAAAACGCTGCGACACATACAGCACGGCTTCGTGTGCTTTCAGCTAGTCTAAACTCAAGTTTCTGAGCATCCAACTTCCAAGTAATCTGTCTACAAGCTTAGAGAGCATCAGTAGGAAACACACACACACACACATACACACCGTGCTGTATGTACACGTGCATGTGCGCATATGTGACGCGCACATTTGGTGCACACGGATCTTCTTGAGCCAGTCAGAGATGGAGAGCATGAGCAGTTGATTAGTGATGAACGATCTTTGACTTTATCGTCCCTTAAGCACCCCGGATAATCTCTTGGATAACCAGCTTTCCCACGATTCGTGTGCAGAAGACGTTTTTGTTCACTAAACAAGGCATACTGTAGTCATACGGTTTTTGTCATAACAAGGAAAGAGAATTACTTGTGTAGTCCCGTGGGTGAACAACAGAGTGGTGCACAAGTATTTTAAAATCCCAAACTTGAATTGGTGTAACTTTGCGATGAATTTGACAATAACGTTTCGGAAGGCAGAGCAGACAGTTGTTGATTTACAGTATTGTAATGCAATATAGCCTACGAATTAAAATACATGCCCTGCGTCTTGCCCAAAGTCAGCTGGGATAGGCTCCAGTTGACCCAAATGAGGATAAGCAGTACTGAAAATGGACGGATGGATTTAAAATACAAGACTTGATATTTTTCAAATAGCATCTCAATAGCATGCGTGGCTTTGCCTGATCTCTGGTTGACAACTTAGGGCTTCATTCACTTGCAGTAACTTAAAACATTCAGTTCTGCTGGACATGAGCGGCGACGGTATCGAACGTGTTTATGTTGTGACTACGTTTTGCATGACGTGCGAATAATATACATACAGCACATGTTATACAACTCAGAGAGGACAACAGATGGTTGAGGTCATCCAGACTTTTGAGTCTGTCAAACTATCCCACGGTGCTGGCGATTTTTACCACCGCTTATCCCGTACAGGGTCGCGAGGGGGCGGGGAGATGTGGTGGCTGACTTGGGACGAAAGGCGCACTACATCCTGAACTGGATGCCAGTCAGTCACAGGACACGGGGGGGGGGGGGGTTATTTTATTGCAGTATTAGAAATATAGATTGAAAACTGTTCCATATCAGGTTCTCTTTCAGATTCTTCGTTTCCTGTCACATTAAAAAAAAATAATAAAATCGTGAAACTAGTGATCGGTCCTCTGCCTCTGGCTCCCGATTCCCTAACAGGCTAAATGCTCGAACATGGCTGGGCTGGTATTCCGAAAACGTCAAAGATGATGTACTCACCACTAAGTTCCCAATGACCATGACCAGCATGAAAACCAGGATGCAGAGAGGTTGCCCAGCTACTTGCATACAATCCCACATGGTCTCAATCCACTCGCCACACAGCACCCTGAACACAATCAGGAAGGAGTGAAAGAAGTCCTTCATGTGCCAGCGAGGAAGCTGACAGTCATGAGAGATCTTGCACACACAGTCCTGGTAGTTCTTGCCAAACAGCTGCATGCCCACTACAGCAAAGATGAAGACGATGATGGCCAACACCAGCGTCAGGTTTCCCAGAGCGCCGACTGAGTTGCCAATGATTTTTATTAGAGTATTGAGGGTGGGCCAAGACTTTGCCAGTTTGAAGACGCGCAACTGATGACGAGAACAAGGTGGGGGAAAACGTGACATTAGAACAACCGACTGAGCGTGAATGTAAAGCGCGACCGCAACCTATCAATGTTGTGGCACTCAAAGAAAGAATTACCAGTCTGAAGGAGCGAAGAACAGATAGCCCCTCAACATTGGAAAGCCCCAGCTCCATCAGACTAAGGCAAACAATAATGCCATCAAAAATGTTCCAGCCCTGTTGGAAGTAATAATACGGGTCCAGGGCGATCAGCTTCAGGACCATCTCCGCAGTGAAGATCCCGGTGAACACCTGACGACACATATAAAAATAGCATAGCATCGTCAGAAAAAAGGAAAAAAATATTGATTTTTAGCACAACTTGATTGCTAAGTGATGGTCTGTATTATCTCATTCTTTCCCGATAGACGGTTTGTTAAAACAGTTTGAATGAAGGTACAATGCCCATCGATCCTCACCAAATTTCCCACTGAGAGCATGGTGTTGAACTCTTCAGTCATGGGGTAGTGTTCCAGGGCCATGAAGAGGGTGTTCAACACAATACATATGGTGATGCCAAGGTCAAGGAAAGGATCCATCACCATCAACTTCACCCACTCCTTCAGTTTCAGCCACCAGTTGCAGCAGTCCCATATCAGGTACTTCTTGGCAAAGGTGTACCAACAGGGGTTGCACTTTTGTCGGGACTCCTCCAGCTCTGCAAAGACAGACCCGAGTCAATCTTGAGTCATTTTTGTCATGATACCGCGGCCAACATTGGAGCTTTTTTTTTTTTTTTTTTTTTTTTTTTGGGGGCCCGGGGAAAATGTTTTCC